TACTTATAATCTATTTGCTTAGGTACACAGTTAACTGATATAACTGGTATGCAGATACACCACATGTTTTAGTTACTTGGGCTACAAGAAGGATGAACTTCATGCCCTGGTCTGTTAAGGCATCAAAATTTCCTTTCATTGGCAACTGTAAGGACTGTTATGATAGTATCTTTAAGGAGCAGAAAGAAATGGGGCAAAAGCTGACTCTTAAAGGAAGCTCAATTAAAGTAAAATGAAATCCCAAAGGTCCATGTGAAAGTCAGTTGCCACGCATCACTTTGCAATCACATTAGGTAATGCAGATCATTGTGCATTATCTCCCAGACAAATAAAAATACATCAGATATGGCTAATAGCTTGTTCATTCAGATATCCACTGGAAAAAATAAAATAATAAACCTTTTTCTAATTTGTCTTCTTCTTTTAAACAGTGATTATACAGTGAAAAAAGCAGGAACAGCATACCTGGTTATCTTCATTAAAACAAAATGATCAGTAATGGCAAGAGCTAAGACAGGGAAGAGACGTAGTTCATCCCTTTGCTTTTCATTAACCAAGACACGCGACTTTCATTTTTTAGCCTACGTTGGTGTGATGCACTTGGTGCAGACTATTAAGGCTGTATTTTAAACCTCAAGAACACTGAAACAAAGGCCTTTTTCTAAATTGCCAGTGGTGGAACCAAGATTGGCATATGGATCACCAGTATTCAGGCATGGATCTATTTAAATGCATAATCATAACCACGGCATTTGCATTACTGTGTTTCACACAGCACTAGCTGTGTGTTCAATAAGCTTCATTTTTTCCCTAATACATCTAAGAAGTAGGCAACATGAAACCGAGTTCATTACACTAGTTATATATGCAACTGCCTGTAGAAATCAGCTACCTAACTTTGTTTATGCACTTAGGAAAACCAGGGTGCTCTTTTAATATAACAAATTTAACAAAATCCATCTGGACCTCAAGCTGTGCTCATCATTCCTGTACGTGATAAAATAGTTTGTCCGTCTTCTGGAATTTTGCTGACAGCTTACTGAAACCAGTTACTGCCTAATCCATAAATGAGACAGAACTTCTTTCATCCACATGTGTTTTCTCTTAGTATCTGGGTGGTTGAAAGATCATCACTGCAGAAAGTTTAGATGTATTGCTGTGATAATGGAATCCACCAGCAAAGTGAAGCATAAAAATATAATGTAACCATTGTTGTCATGTATCTGTACTGACAGATATAAATAAGGCCACCAGCACTGTATTTTTTAACCAAATCTCTAAGCAGCAATGCAGTCATAACTAAACAGTGAAGTGTCTATCCCAGATTTTGAAATATTCAATTCCCAGTTAGTCACAAAAGAACGCAGGAAATTTTAGGATGAAAAGAAATCAGAAATCCCATCTACAACTGTTCTCTTTCTTGAATTACCATTTGTTGTTTACCACAGACTTTTCCATTAATTGCTAAATGATTTTAAGAGATTTTATACTTAGTGGTACAAAGTTACAATCTACCATAAGTAAAGCATATTCTTTGAAATGAAATTCCACTTACCATAAATCAGCTTCCTTCATTCTTTTTATATTTACTTCATTATTTGGTTATCCTCACTAGAATTACATAGGACAATGATACCCTTCCACATTCAGAATCTTGCTCCCCTTCTGTGCATACAGTTTTCAAAATTCTGAGTTTGGTTAGGCATAGTTTACAAATGGCTAAGGATGCTGAAGTATTGCCACACTGATCAACTGTAGATACCTTTGTTAGAGCCTGCCACAGAAAAGTTTGCATGGAAAACAATCTAGCTCAAATTAACTGCAATTATAAAGAAATATTTTCAAAGACTTAAATTGCAACTTGAAATGTGATTGAACACTGAACTCTAAAAAAAAAAAAAAAAAAAAAAAAAAAAAAAGTCTGTAAAATGCATCTACCTTTGTCAGTGTATGTATTTTGGTTTAGTTTATTTGTGTACATACAGATACACACCAAACACACTGCAGTGTGTATAATCCTTTCAAAAAGACCTCATTCATCTAACACGGTAGAACTATGGGATTTTACAGCTAAAACAAAAAGAGGCAGCACCTAAAGTGTGCTTTATTGCCATCTACCCACAGGTGCAAGTAGATACTTTTCTAAGGGTACATTCAGAATTGCAACAGACTTAGTAAAGAAAGAGTCGCTGCTCAATTATAAATCAGTAGCAATAAATTGTCTTAAAGATTACTATAAACCATCAGTTCATAAAGACTTTTAGTTCCTGCTCTGTTAATCAGTCATAGAATAATAGAATATTTTGATTTGGAAGGGACATTTGAAGATCTTCTAGTTCCCTCTGTAATTAATGTTGAGACACAAATGCCATGAAAGAAATTATATCACAGAACTGAATCTTGGGAGTCATGTAAGCTACTTGTCCATATTTGAGACAGCAAAATGTAGGCAAGAGGCACGACTAACACCATCACAGGAGATCTATTCATTTCATATTTTGACTTCCTTTTAAATAGAATCTTCTTATTCATTTCTATCTCAAAACTAAAAAGTTTTTTAGCAAAAATGGCTTTCTGATTGAGAAAAGAACAAGTTAAATAAGATGACTGTTAAGAAAGGAAGAGCTGCTATGTCCCCCACAGACAGTTCAAATTAACAGATCTATACATCTGTGGAAATCATATTTTCCAAATGCAGTAGAGGTGGACATGTTACTCAATACTAATTTCCTAGTATTACTTCAATGACAAATGAAAAAAAAATCTTTTTGTCCTCCTCTTTGTTTTGCTAGCAGCTCAGAATACTAGAAACATTCATTCACAATAGAAGGTAAGAATCTTTCAAATATAGACAACTTTCACAAAGAAGGATCTTTACCTTTACAGCCCTTATGGATAAATATGGGGACAGAGAAAATCGTGTTCAGTCAGCACAGAAGTTTGCAGTGAGAAATACTCAAAATATGTATGCATAAATTCTTGCTTTTAGTTTACAGGTAGGGAGTAAGACATTATTAATCTTGGTGTACTTTTTTACAAAGAAAAAAAGTAGTTGAAATATAAATAGCTATAAATAACATGTACAGGCATTAAAGCAGGAAGTCTAATATGCATTGATGAAAGTAGAAATTGTTAAAACAGCTTCAGATGTCACTTAATGAAGTCATGAAAGCTGAGATTCTGGATGCAGAAAGACTGCCTTCCTTCTAAATGATGTATGTTTAAACTTAGCAAAGGAGAAGAGCAGAAATAGGCACTGAAGTCTTGCAAAATTACAATGAAAGGAAAGCTTTATATAAATTCATCCCCTCAGTGCTGACCATTCCTGAGCAGACAAAGAACTAGTGTTTAAGTTGTCTTCCAAATGATAACAACTGCTTTTCTCCAAGTTTTTTGGACAAACAGAATTCTTTACAATAGCGGTGATGCATCAAGGAACATCATAGCTAGTTTTAATTTAAAAAACTCCATGGCTGAACTAGAAAAGCAGGAGATGTTTCAGTTTTACTAAACTGTAAACAAATCCCAAAAATCAGAAGTATCTGCATACAGCTAACTAAGTCCTTAACTCTATTGATCAAAGCAGTGAATACTTCTACGCCTCTATTCTAAATATCTTTGTTATAATAGAAAAATAAGAACTTTTTGAATAACAAGATATTATTTCCTCCTATGCAGTTATTAAACACCTTACAGACAGCAAAAAAAAATCAACTTGTGAAAATGTTCACCGTCTTCCAGAATGATGCCATAATTCCTTAGATTATATGCTAATAAAAAACTTCACAGAAAAAGAAAGCATTCAAAGACATTAATTTTTAGAAGCGGGAAAAAAATGCATTCCACATTATAACGTCTAAGGCAGTGCAAGTGGTTCCTAATTTTTGCATCAAATGAGAACTAAAATTGCCACTGGCAATGTTCTCCTAGATTTATTTTTGCAACATTCTCAGTCTCAAGGCAAAGTTTTCTATTATTTTGGGATGCAAAAGGTTTTTTTCAACTGAAGAATAAGTTTTATAAACATGAAGGAGTATCTTAGGTGCAAATCGGACTCAGGAACCAAAATTTAACTACTGCACTCTCATATTTTAATCATTGATTTATCATATTCTAGACGATTGTTCATGAAGCACACAAAATCTTTCAAATGTGAAAATTACTGAAACAAATATTAAAGCCATCAGACCAACATTAAAGCTTTTCATTAACAATTCACTTACAGTCTTATTTGTGAATAGCTTTTTTTCCTTCCTCAGTACAGCATAACTTGCTAATACTTTTGATTTAAATAGATACTTGTTTAAAGCTGATTCTTTTGTCATGGCCAGTAGGAAACCACCTTCTCCAAATATCTGTATAGCTTCAATCTGAGAGGAACATAATTCAACTATTTAAGATGCCACTGAATTTTTTGCCTTCCTAACTAAATCTTAATTTGACCCCTGAAAAGAAGAAAATGGATTAAGATCATTTTTTTTTCCCTTTTCTTTTACCATTTCAAAAGCCATTCAAAGAGAATTAGGTACTCAAAAACAGAATGCATGGGAACAAAAAGAGTTAAGAACAAATTGAACTATCAGTTGTGCCTTTTCCCTGTGCATTTTGCTAAGCATTTGAGATAACTCATTTAGATGTGCAACTGGGCATAAGAGGAAAACATGAGTGTGTACTAACAATCTCTTACTGTGTAAAGTACTGTTGAATCAAGGTGTAAAAAAATGCCTTAAAATTAACTAGAATTTGAACTAAATTTAATTTAACTGGGGAGATTATCACTCTACCTTTATTATAAGAAATACAAGCTTAATACCAAACACAAAATAAATATTGTGTTCCTACATAGATACAAAATAATAATAAATAAACAATAAATAAATAAATAAATAAATAAAATACAAGTCTCTTGTAAGGGATCTATTTTTCCACAAAAACTTCTCCTTTTTGAACACACAAAATAAATTGCTTTTACTTATAAGGAAATTAATTTTTTAACCTACCTCGACTGCATATCTTGTGTTTTGGACTGGCTGATTTCTGCTGGAGATGAAGGTACTTGCTGTTGTAGCTCCACCAAAGACTGGTAGTACTGTTGCTGATGATGTTGCTGCTGTTTGTATCGAGACAAACTGAAAAACAGGCCTAAAATGGCTTTCAAATTTCCATTCCTTATTTCTATATTAAAAAGAAAAAAAGAAAAAGAAGTGAAAACACAGTGGTTTTAGACTTTCAGTTTTGAAGAAGTTTTACTCTCTAACATCCATGTAAACTAACCTATACATATTTATACTCTTCTGCATTTCTCTCTGCTATGAGAGACATGCCAGGTGCCATTGATACTTTATTGTTTGTCTTTGCTTATTTATGTGCTGTTGTTGCAAGAAACACATCTCTTTAATGTCCTCGTGATGAAACACATGTGCATGGTCATAAAGAAGAGTAAAGCTAACATTAAGCAATATATATATTTGAAAATAAATACAGTACACAGCCTCAACTCAATACAAGGATTCTTGGGAACAGCTAGTAAAAATCTCTGTTCTTCTGGCTTTAGGTAAACATCCCTTCTAAGTAGTGGCTTTACATTTCTCTTATGGCTTCTTGGGCAAATCTTTGTCCAGCACCAGTAAACAATGACTTCTAAAAAAAGTGGAAAGAGGAGATGTCTGCAATCTAGTGGATGAGTGCATATGCATTCACAAGAATTAGGAAAGAACAAAAGAGAAGCAGATTAATGGAAAATACCAATGAAAACAGGTGACCATAAGATTTGTGATTATATCTTTGAACTTTCCAGTAACATCATTCTCTAGTTTCCTATTCCATGCTGCTTGTACTGATTAACAAAAACTTCAAAAATACAGCTTTCACTTGTGGCTAAAATAGCTTTCCATATGAAATTTTGTCTCTGGGTAGAATCCTGAAGTCTCCCATTCCTTTCTCTTTGCCTTTGCACAGCCTGAGATGAAGGTTTTAAAAGGCTAATGTTATTCTTTGCTCATAAAGGATCTCCATGTCAAAAAAGAAGCCTCAGGGGGCCTTAATGAAATTATCTGCAGCACTTAGGTCTGTTCATAACTTCATTATTAATTTTCTTTGGCACTGGGCTTCTTGTGTAAGGTTTTCATTAGGCCGATAGCCTTGTAACCTAACATGTAACATTTGAATCTTTCTGTCTTTCCTGCAAATACAAAGACTGAGTTTTATGTACTACACAGCCTTTCCTTATAAATGCTTAATACAGCTTATAAACAAACACTATAATATTAATGTTCTTTAAATCATATTAATTTCTTTTCCACAGGTGAAATGCTGGTGCATACGTGAACAGGCCATCAAACACTACAGCACTTATACTCTCACTCTGTTCAGCAAGAGCAAACAATTCTGAACACCCTAATGTACTTTGCAAAATGGAAATTTGTTCTATGTATCTATACTTGCTCTTGTTCCCTATGAAGATGCAGTAGGATCACTGATTCCTCATGAGATATCAGCAACATGCAGAACTTTCTCAGTATTAGCAAGCTGTTTAGGAATAATGACTTCTGTAGTTATACTGCTGTCAAGGAAGATCAAGAAAGCTTTTATTTAACATTATCTTAAAAAAAAAAAAAAGAAGAAAAAGAAAAAAAAAAAGACAAACCAAAACATGTAAATCCCATTGTTCAAGCTTCTCCAGTTCTATCCCAGATATTATTTATTCTTGTCATATTGCATCATGTAGTTCTCAGGAAAATAATCCCTTGTTCATTAAATCACATCCATATATTTTTATCTTATAATTTCACCTTTTTGTGTGTGTGTGTTAAACCATATGTTTAACTACTTGTAAAGGAGAATGTGAACAATGTTGTACTTATTCCCTGCTTTTAGACCAGGTACAGTTGGAAGATTTCTTTTAAAGCATAAACTCCCAGAAAATTATCAAAGGTACTAAATATAATACTAAATGCAGGGAAAAGGAGAGGAACTGCTTTTCTTCATTGAAACTGGTTTATTATTTATCACTTGGATTCTCCAGTACAGATTTTGCTCTCAAGTTTTAAAAAACAACTTTTGTTCAAGAATTCCCTGCTCAAGCATCTAAATGAGGTGGGAAATCGGTTTCAAATCTTTAATCTTTGTTAAGGTCGTAGTTTTCTGTTTGGGAAACTGTCTGCAAAATGCATTAATACATGTCTCAACAGTAGTAAGACATTTACTAAAGCCTATTAGAAGAAGCAGCCATATCAGTTTGTGAAATTCATGGATTTTAAACATAAATGCGATGAAAAAATACACTATGAAGATAACCTGATAACTTAATGATAAAAACAACATAGCAGTTTTTCTCAATTCCTTCTTCTCAAGGAAATTGCAATGTTCAAAATAATGCATGTTAAAAATGGTACATTTAAGGGAGGCATGTTACTGCAAACAAATACAGAAACATCAAAGATATTAGAAGATGTACTCCAGAGTCAACGTTGACCGACAAACAGCAAAATTAGTTTGAACATTACTTCAGAATTCAAGGAATGCAGTGTTAAAATTCTGTCTCAATACAAGTTTTTAAAAATAGTCTTTGCATTTAAAACTGCATTAGATTATTACTTTTAGTAGTATTTGTACTTAATGCCAATTGGTTGAATCCTACATCTTTCTACAAGTGATTTTCCAAAGCAAAACAAAGGTTTGCATAAAGGCATGTATTACAGAATGCACTCTGATTTTGATTTAATGAAGTACAGAGAAAAAGAATGTTGTTTTGTGCCGTGCTATGAAACAATGAAGAGTATTGTTGTGAAATAAATTCATGCTATTCATACATTTGATTCTTATTTTGTATGCAAGTAAAAATAAGCTTCCCTGAAAAAATGAGTTCTAAATGACTTTCTGGTCAGCCTGGTCTAGTATTAAAAGTGGAGGTTGGTGGCCCTGCATGTGGCAGGGAGGTTGAAGATTTGTGATCCTTGAAGTCCCTTCCAATCCTAGCCATTCTGTGATTCTGTGATTCTGTGACTTTGGGATGATTGGCAACATGTAAATATTCAGTATTCTAACACATCAGCGTATCTTCATTATATACAAAGGTTCCTTTTTATCAGTTAAGGAGTTTTCCATAATTAAATTATTATAGAGAAAAGACAGAACATATTATGGCTGTGCTATGCTTCCACCAGAGGTACTAGGAAAGGTGGGGATGGTAGAGGATAACAATGTTAATTTTAAAATCAAGCACTAGCTAGCATTCAAAATTTTTCTTCACATTATCTTGTAAAAATAAATGGAAATTGGCATCTGTTAAAAAAAAGAATGCCTCCTTTCCCTTAGTCTTGCTACATGCAAAATAAATACATAGCATTGTGACTTGATAATACCTATTGGCTTCAGCTGCCACAGAATTCAAAGGGACTTCTATGGTGCACAGAACCCTGCAGAACTGTTTAATCCCTTACAAGACAAATGTTTGCATACATTTTATTACGCTACAAAATAAAATAACCGTTTGAGTTAATTCTGCATTAATTTAGCAAATATTACACGTTAAGACAATTGGCACTTGACTTGATATATTGATTACTCATAACTGCATCAGGCACTAACTTGATTAAAACAGTAAAAAGAGCTATAATATAAGCAGCAAGACTGTTCTTTCACATAACACAGCACATCACTGTTATGCAATACATTTCAGATGCATCCAGACAATACTAATACTGAGTATAAAGGCTCTTAAACAGTCTTCCCCGGGTTTATTTATCTGAGCAAGATTCTTATATATCTATGTTTGTTTTGAAACCCATATATGAAGAAGACAAAATGTGTACTTGAGGAAAACTGTACTTATCTGACATTTTGGAGATAACATGAAAGTGTTAATAAAGGTTGCCTTAAGTTTTGTAAATATACTAAATTCCTTAGTTCAATTTCAATAGAAAATTAAAGTTTTCTCTCACTCCTTATCAGTAATCAGTATTTGAGTGCTGTTCAAAACAGCTACAGTTTGGTACAAAGGTACAAATAATTTCTATTAAAAAAATTAGCATAAAAAAAAATCCAGTTATTTGTTCTGATGATCAATTTCTCTTACCTTCTGCAGAAAGACCTTGGACATTTACACCTCTGGCTGCCAGAAAGCTGAGGCAGACATCAACATTCTCAATCTGCAATATGAACATAAATAACAAGCAGCGTAAGACTATTTGACAAAATGTACTAAAGTGTAGGGGAAAAAAAAAAAAAAGAAATGTCCTAGGAATGAATACTTTACATTCACTGCATTCTACAGCTCTTTACCAAAGTTTAACAAGAATGATTACTCCTAATTAGGGACCTGATATAAAGCTTTCATTGTCCACTTTGCTGCTTAAAAACAATTCATAAATGCCCGATCCAGAATGGCATGCTGGCAAATCAGCAACCCATCTACTTAACATAAAACTGGATTTGATACACTGCAAACAAACAGCAATGAAAGCATCCAGAGAGAGTTAGACACTGAACATATGTTTAGAGAAGTGGGTGAGTTTGCTGAAAAATGAAATCAAAAGCATCCAACAAATGTTTTAGCAAAGGTATTTCCCTGAGATGATGTAGAATTTTGTGAAGATTATGTCAGAGCAATGTTTTTTTTCCTTTTCTTTTTAAATATAATTCTAAATAATTTTAACTTATTTAAAGATTATATATCTCTAAAAAGTGCTTGCTTATTAAAAGACATGTTGCTGATTTCAGTTGATTGTTTAGATGAATTTTACAGTTGCCACACAGTTTAAGGAAAGAGAAGAAGAAAACTTAGCCCAAATGTAGACCGATAAAAGGATCAAACTTCTGTCTCTACAATGACTAGTCACAGTATTAATGCTTTTCAGCTTCGTACATTTCACAGATTAGGGAGCAGAACGTTCCAAAAGGTTCATTTGAATGACCATCCCTGACTGATTTCCCAGACGCTTTCAGGATGTATGAAGCAAATATAAGGGTAACACCTCTCAACTAACAACTTTGTATGGCTCAATATATTCTTATCTACTCAAAATTATGCTACGTGGAGCGGTGTCCTATGTCAAGTGCCTTACACGGACGTGATTTAAAACTATATTTTTTAGGTTGAAGGATTTTTTTATTTTAAGTAATTGGGATCGCAGAAATAAAATGTTTAACAATATAATTTAAATACCTATTGTCATTGGGAAACATTAAAAGAAACAAGCACCAAGCACCACACCCATAAACCTGCAGTAGATCAAGTGCATGCTATTTTGTTTTAAGGTTCACATGTTTTACAATGTCCCATTATCATCAGTTTTCAGCCCTCATAGCATGAGGCTTAAATTCACTCCTTGACTAAAAAGTATTTGATTGTTGACAGTATTTTTCCTAACCTGAGAGAAAGGCCTTTTATTATGGCTGTCTTTCTATGATAGCACTTCTACATTTATCCTCAGTGAATACTATTAGATAAAAGGAATAGAAACATTATTTTTAACAGTGACCCTTGAAATATATATTATGAGATTACACAGACTTTCTTGACCCACAGATACTACTTATAAACATAAGCATCTGCAAAGCTCTTAGATATTGCTTGTTAAGCACAACAAACTCCAAAACATTAGTAACCATATCTTTAAAAAAGTATTTTCCTACACTTAGTTAACTTATTTCTAATGATATACTACCATTTATAGGAAATAATAAGCAATCTCTCTCCTAGATCAATTAAAAAAAGTAAATACAACTCTGCTGCTAATTGTAATTAAAGTTACTTTAATGTTGGGATTCACCATAAAACTTTCTTCAATCAGCTTGGCAGCATTCACTTATTTGTACAGCTGGAATAGTGGAACAACTGTCATAAAAATCAATGGGATTATTCCAGTTCTGGTCAAGCAATGTAAATGCAGTTCCTCAGGCACTAACTCTGTGATTCTCTTATATGTTTATGTAGTTTCACATCATGAAAATAAATAAACAAATAGTCCGATAGATAAACAAACTAGGTCATTTCATAAAGGGCAATGATGTGATACACCTAAGTGAGTTGAAAGTAGGCTGCATCAAAAATAGGAAGATGGACTTCTTCCTCACCTCCTCCTTCTCCTCCCAGGTGTGGAGCCCTGCTGCTGCCAGCTCGTCTGATCTTCAATGATTCTCTGAGCACACCAGGAGCTCGCTCAGCACACAGAACCCACCCAGCAAAGAAAGCAATCATATTTTAGTCACTCCAGTTTCCCGTGCAGACTGATGAGCACAGGCATCAGAGGAGGAAAGGGTGCGTCCAAGCCTGAGTAAGGCATAGTTTGGGGAGGAGAGGGCAGACAAGGAGGAGGGACAGGAAGATTAAACCACTCCTGACAGCAACAGCAAGAAAATGAGCTGGCTCAGCCCTGACCTCCAACTACACCCATGGATCAGTCATGAAAATAATACACATGATGAGGATAGCTTTGCTCGACCTTTAAAAAAGGTCAACTACACAAGAAAACAATTTGAATGGAAATTTTCCTGTCTTGAAGAATTTAACAGAAGTGAAGATTTCTTTGGATATAAGCTATATAACTGTGTCTCTTTGAACTTTCGGATCAACCATAATGCAGAATAAACTACTTCAAAGATGGGAAATTTTGCTCTACCTGCCACTTAATAGTGGGAATCAAATGAGAAAAAAAAACTAGACCAGAGTCAGTAGTGACCACATCCAAATATCCAAACCAATGTTTCCTAGCAGACCTGCTAGCATAACTAACATTTTTCATAATTGACATGTATTCTCTGTCATACTTCAGGAGACTATTAACTATAAACAAAACCTTATTTTCTATGTACTACAGTACATAGTACATATATATACCACAGTACATAGTATTATGTAAAGTACTAATACTATGAAAACATCTCAACAGCTATCTGCAATACTAAATATTTAGTAAATAATAAGCCAAAACCTTACCATACGCTTAGGATGAAAAATATTCTATAGAAGTGGCTCCTGGTTAGTTTACATGTCAACATCTACTGTATGTGTCTTTGAAGTCACATTTCTTAAACCTGCTGACAAATCTAGTCATCATTACTAGCACTGATGACTCAATATACTGAAAACTACAAAGCAAATTCTGTTTTGCTTCATAGTTCACCCAGAGAACTCTAATAGAAACCCTGAGTCCAAAATCATTCCTCTTGGTGGTGCTGTATGAAGTAATAGCAGAAGCCAACTTTCAGACAATTGACTGTGGTTGCAGTATTAGCCTTATAATGAAGTCTTCTTTTGGTTTGTGAATAGAGCAAGTCTGGCGTGGAAGTTCACAGTCACACAGCACGCAGAAAATGTCAGAACATAACTCTTGCAGTCAGTTTTCTGATAATAACTGCAGTTACTTACAACTCTCAGAATCTGTTAGGAGATTCAGTGAAACATCTATTAATACATTTCTGGATTATTTTCACTTTCTTTCCTTTCCAGAAGAAGCTTTCTAGAAGAAGTTAGCCTTAATCTTGTCCCATTTTAAAGCTTTCAGTACGTCTATAAATGCTGCTTTAATTACCTACTTCTTGCTTTGGCAAACCACAGTTATTCTTTGAACTCAAACCCCAGAAATACCAAACACTTTTTATTCAAACTTACACACAGATGAGAGTAATTTTTCAATCACAAAAGCTCTAAGAGATTTCAAGCAGCTTCCAGTCAATACTGTTTCAATCAAGAGTGGTATGAATCCCTGAAGTCCATGTTTATTTAAGTAGTTAGTGGTGGCATTATTATGAGCTGGGTTAAATTCTTCATAATGCTAACACTGCACATACAGAAGTCTACCTGCTAATATATCAAGGACTATGGATTTTGCTTTGTTACTCTTCACATAGACACCAGACAGATTTCATGATGTATGCCCACAATTTTGTAATGAATTTTGCTTTCAAACAGCACCCATTTACAACAGAGATGATGTTCCCCATTAGTGCAAACAGCATCATCAGAATTATGATGTAGATCATCCCAGTACAGAATTCAGGTTAAACAGATTCAAAATCCAATGCACCAAGAGATAGAAAGTAAATCAAAAGTGCAAATTTGCTTGCACATAAATAGATAGATCTAAATATTGCCAAGATCAGGCTATCGCTGAACAGTTTTTCACTATCAATCCAAAACATTTTTTGTTCCAAGTCCCTTATTTTATAATCTCAACTCAAAAGACTGGAAGATATGAATAACAGATTTGCCACATTAAAAATGTTAAAACAGAATAGGTAAATTAGTACCACTTCCTTGACATGTAGATTTGTCCATCTACTTATTCAATTAACCATTTTGAAAGTCAGTCGCTACTACATGAGATTGCTTTTCAGAGGCAAACAGAACTATCACCTCTGATTGTACAATCACTTCCTTTTCAAAGCTGAAGAATAATTTGCCCTGTTCTGAAAGGTACCTTCAACTTCATAGGTGCAGAGAAACTGCTAAGAAGATGATGATTTAGGAATCAAGATATTGGAGAATCATCAGCTAGATATAATACTATTGGATGCTAATTAAATTAATGCTACTACATTATGTTTATACAGTATTTAGCTACTTTTGTAAATCAAATCCTTTAAATATTGTTTATAGACACAGCATTATGAAAAAAATTCATCTGAAATACTTACACTGTAAATACTACTGGATCCCAGGATATTTCTACACCCACATTTTAAAGGATCATCTTTTAAATGATTTATATACAAATAAGCAGCAATAGCACAACTGCATACTATTATTACATTATATGGCATATAAAGAAGACACGTCTCAAATCTTCTGTAATACACTACATACTATAGTCTTAGGTAATCTGCTTTTGACTTGTAGGTATTTGAAGCTTTACTGATAGACATAAATGACTAAACCAGACTTTGGGACTTGCGTGTAGATGAACAGTAGCACTTAATACCCAGAAGTCAGCAGATTTACAGGAAGAGATCATTTGTGGGATTGTGCTCACCAGTGACTCAACATATAGAACATGTCTATTTATTATAATTATTTTTGCTGTTACCAAGATTAGCTTTCATCTCTTTTGTCTGGCAGAAAACACTTTCTTCACTTCCAGCATCAATTTAATTGTGGAATACTCAGAAGACAAGTAATGATGACTAATACAGCAGGACGTTTTCCTGT